TTGTGGGTGACAAGGCACCAAATCAGATGAAGAGATTTTAACACTGTAAAATGGGATAAAATCAAACATGACCTCCCATTCAACACGGGTTGCAACACTTGGCTCGTGGCACAGACTGGCAGTTTGCGTGTGGATAAAGGTCTCTTGCCCAAAGGCTTTGCCCTGTGGTGTGAGCCCACCCGCTCACTGCGCATCCGCCTCTCCCTAAAAGGCACTGCTGGTGAACCTCCCTGCTGGAGCCAATGCCCAGGGGAGGCAGGAGCTGCTCTGCCAGCAGGTCCTTTTGCAGCAGCTCGGTGAGCTTTTGCTGCTGTGCTTCTTACCCTCGGCTTCAAAGGCCAGCAGGCTCCCGGGAGTCTCTCGGTGGTATCCTCCCACTGCTCAATGTACATTTCGTCGTCCCAGTTGTAAGCCTCTTCTGGTGGCAGCTGGTATTTGATCTTGGCCACCTTACAGTTCACGGAGTGTCTTCTGATGGTGACCGGGACCTTGGATTTCAAGGTCACTCTGATATCCTTGGCACAGCCAGGCTGGAGGTGTCCCACCTAGGGAGAACCAGAAAGTCAAGACCAAACTGGAAGCACTGGCAAGGGCAGCACTGACAGCAAAAGGGACTGATATGGCGAGCAGCTGTGCTGGGAATCAGCACCTCAGTGAGGATTTATGTGAGATTTGATAGACCAAATATGAACAGAAGGTGCCACCTCCCAGAACGTGGAGCCTTTTCTGCTGGGCTGACAGCCCTGCCCCAGCAAAGACAGGGATTGCATCTCCTGCATGGCACTGGAATGGGCTCTCACTGGTATGTGGTGACTCCCTGCCAGCTCCCAGGAACACCAGGAAAGGGCCTGAGCAACTGGGAAAGGCAGGGCTGTCCCAGCTCACCTTGGGGGAGAACTGGAACGGGGAGTCTGCCAGGGGCCACTCAAACCGCATCACCTCCTCCTTGCTGCGGTCGGTGACTGTGAAGGTCTTGTCTCAGAGCTCCCTGACTGCACAATCCCCAAATTCTATGTGATTCACTCTGACACCTGTGAAGAAGGAGAGCAAGACATCTCAGCATGCAGTGAGGTCCATCCGCCCCCTCACGTGCAGAGACACGTGTATGTTCAGCTCTTCCTTGCCCCAAGCCTCCCTCCCTCCCTCTGGGAGGTCTCCAGGCCCGTGGCTGTGCCTGTGCCCAGCGACAAGCAGCACAGCACACACTGCTCTGTGTGCATGGCTGGCAAGCTCACAGGCCCCCCAAGTCCAGTGGGTGACAGCCCAGCCCTGGCTAGAGAGAGGACACGCATGATCAGACATTTTCCTCTTCCTCGCTCTACCTTGGCAGCCTCTCCTCTCTTACCCTCAATGATGTCGTCGTCCAGATTGCCCTCAGCATTGCTCTCCTGGCTGTCTTCTGCTAGTCCAGAGAGGTTATCAAGGGTGAAGTCATCATTGTGGCCTTCACCCACCAGCTCTATGTTGATCTCACTGTTGCCTGACACTGGCACACGGATCTTCCCTTCCAGACGTTGGGCCAGGGTGGGTTTGAAAAACACGTCAAACTCCGCTGATTGCCCACGTTCCAGGAGCATGTAAGGCTTCTGGGGACGCTTCTTGGCTGCACGGCAATGGGAATCAGAGTTAAGTGATAGAGCTGTACAGAGGAAATATTTCCCGGGGTTATATGAGAAATAAGAGGTTGGAATCAGTTGCTTCTAAGCACAGGTTCTCCCACCAGTGGTTCCAGACCCTCTTCCTGTGTTCACAAGACTATGTCACCATCACACATATCACCACTTAAGCGGCTTAACCTCAGGTTAACACCCAGCCCTCATTCCATCTGCTTCCAGCCAGCTCCTGCCATACAGAAGGCTGAGCCAAGGAGTGGTTTTGGCTTCTGCTGGCTGGCTTGTGTGCTCAAGGGCTGCCTCCCTTCAGGCTGGTACCTTCCCACACGTGGCAAAGACCTCAGCCAGTCCACTGAGGTGGTGATAGTTCCCCACAGCTCAACCCACCGTGTCTCGAAGAACAGAAAAACTTCCTACAACTTGCTAGGAGGAAACCCTGCAAGGAGTCCACAAGAAAAGCTCGGGGGACAGAGAGACCAAGGAAAGAAACTATGTCCAACATGTGGCTGCTGCTTAGACAAGCCAAGAGCAGGGCACACCTTTTCCCTCTGTGAATGATCACGCTGCACAGTTAATGAATTTACCTTTTCCAGTGGAGTCCTTTTCCTTGTCTCCAATGTGGAAGGCATGGAGTGTGGACTGCGTGCTTTTCAGGAAGAAAACTCCCTTGTCATCCATGATATGAACTGTAAACTGAGAAAAGGGAACACGGAGCACAATGACATTGGTGTGAGTAGAGGCTGGCACGGGGGTTGAGCCCGTACGGCCGCTGGTCCAGCACGGGGAAGCCAGACCACCTCCCCACCTCAAACACAGCGCCCAGCACAAAGGTTAAGTGAAGTCACACAGGGAAAAAAGGGTGTTCAGAAGCATATGGATAGAACTGACATAGAGCCAAACAGGACAGTCAGTCACGAGCAGAATGTAACGAAACCACAACTAAGTTTAACTAAAATGGAGTCAACCAGTATCAAATGCAATCTCATGGAACTGGGACGTCACACACGCCCACATGAGAACAAAATGTGAGCTGGGAGATGAGGGGAAAAACACCCCACCACCTTTCTTGTCTTGTGTTCAACTGACAAGGAAAGACTGGACAGAAAATCACAGGTTTTGGGACCTTTCCTCCACAGGACAAGCACTTGTTCCCAGCCCAGAGCATTCCCTGAGCAGGTCCTTACCTGGGTGGGTATGACGCCATTGTTACGAAGGACCAGGGGGAGTGTCTGTGAATCCCCCAGCAGGAGCCTCCTGAAGCACAGCACAGGGTTTCCCCTCTTGCTCTGAAGGCCCGGGCGCTCGACTGTCACCTCAGGCACGTGCCCCTCTCCACTGACAGTGAAGGTCAGCTGTTGGGGTTTCATCTTCATAGAGCTGCTGGAGAGGCACAGAAACCATTTCAGCCAGAACCTTCCAGAATAACAATTCTAAATAATTTCCCTGATTTGAATCATGCTGTACAGCAGATAAATAATGAGGCACTAGATGAGACGTGGTAAATCCTCTGGCTGCAGTGATAGGAGACATATGCAACAAGCAAAGGCACATCATGAAAACAGTACAAAAGCAAGAAGGGAAAACCAAATCAACACCACCATCAGTAAAGATTATTTCCAAGGATCCTAAAAAAGGAATTGCTTGTTAGGGCAGAAAGCTGACTTCCCTGTTCCAGTTCAGCCACTAAAGGCTTGGGGAAGGGCAGGTCAGAGACCCAGTACACAGGTCCCAGGGAGAGGAACCAGGCTTCTCTTTGATAAGAGCTCCAGTCACTCTCCTGACATAAAAATAGCTTAATGCATACCAGGGAACCACACAGGATCACTTCCTTTTACAGAAATAAGGAGGAAATCTTGACTTGCTGGCACAGAAACTGCTTCATCTAAGCCTTTGTCCTTGGAAAGCCCCAGCTCAGCTGTTGCACTTGTCAGTAACTTCCAGCTGGCTACCTAAGGCCCTCTCTTCAGAGTCCCTCACACAGCCTGAAGTATCCTCCTCATTTTTCTGCTCTGCTCTGCCTAACAGTTACTGCCTCCCAGATCATCTCATGTCAAGTACTCTGCCTAAGGGTACTGAAAGCATTAGAGGTACCAAGAGGAGAGGCAGCTACCGGAACGGTCCCCCCAATACTTCACAGGGTCACTACCTTTTTGGGCTAACAAGGGAAGCTGTGAAAGTGCAGTGGTAGTCCTCCTTTTGTTCTGGAGTGAAGGTCACTGTAGCAAAGGCATGGGATAAGCCAGGAATGCTCATCTCGACAGGATCCAGCTTGAAGATGTTGCTGATGAGGCTGTGAGGCTTGGGGGGAACCCACAGTGCAGTGTTAGGAGGAAACATCTTTCAATGTGACCCAGTACATCCTTAACAGCCCCTCTCTGAGTGTGCTTTCGAGAGATGTTTAGAAGGATTCCCGCCAAAGACCCAGAAGCGTGAGCCAAAATTTGCTTGAGAGATGTGGAATTCAATGCCAGTGCCCCCCTGGCATTGCTGCTCTGCCCTGCAGTTTGACCTGCGCTGAGCTGGACTGGTCCAGCTGGGCCAGAGAACGCAATGACTCTGGAGAACAAGGCAGGTTCTCACATGGCCTTTAGAGAGCAGTGGTCACACTGGCCTCTTGTTCTTACCTCTCCAGGCATGGCTTTGATGGAGAGGACCACGTCACATGGGACACTGTTGCCATTAGAGATCTTGAAGCGAGCTGTGACCCGTTGCCCAACCTGAACTTTGGTGAAGATGAATTTGTTATCATCTCTGATGAACACACCATTGCCTTGCACCGACTGTAACGTCTGGCGGAGATTGACGTTGTTGTGGATCGGGTACTGCTCAAAGATGGACGTGACATCTTCAACAAGTGCTGCAGACAGACCAGAGGAAGGGCTGAGGCTGGAGAACCTCTTTGCTGAATTTACCTGGACCCAGTTAGCCTTTCAGAAGGCTTGATAAGCCCTTTCTGTCCAGGTGACTTCAAAACCCAGCCTTGGATGAGAGAGCTCAGTCAGTGAGGATGGAGCTCAGCTAACCTCAGTCTTAAAGGGCATTGCTTTCCTTTTATGCTTCCACACATCCCTCCCAGCCTCTCCCCACTGGTGGACTTGAAAAGGACTGCAGCCTCTGAGGATTTTAAGGTGGGACTTCAGGACCAGGGTGCCTCTCTATCCAAGTAGCAAGTTTAGGTGCTGATCAGCAGCAGGACTGCCCATGGCAACCTGTGGACAGCACGTACCTGGGAAGCAGGACTCGGCAGTCAGGGTAAAGGGAATGCCGAGGGGATTGTCCTTGGGGTCTCTGTTGCTGATGTCAATGTACAGCTGCTCCTCACATTTCCCCTCTGCTCCTGCGTTGCAATCCACTGTGATCTTCTGCTGGCCCCAAGGAC